ATCTTGACAGCCGACCTAGACAGTCTAGGAAGGCACTTCTGAAAATAGCGCCTTCAACCAAAAGCCAGCAAAAATTAGCTGATTTTTTGCAAGTCGGTTTGGATAAATTTGCAGGTACTTGGGACTCCACTGGGCAATTACTTCTTTTATAGTAAGCATATTGATGTCTTCATGTAACATATGCGCCAAGGTTCGTTACATATTTGTCGATGAACTTTAGACTGAAATAGCTACAGCTGTAAAATGTTTGATTTTCTAGCGGTGCTCCATAATTGAATACCGTATTCCTAAACAGGTTTCAGTATGGCAGTATATATAAGCAACTTATTGTCTAGACTGAGTTATGAGTTTCTATTCATAAACCAGTACATTTTCCTGTATAACAGTATTAGTAGAAGCAGTTTGGTCCATATATATTTTTTCCAGGGAATGATCCAGGTAAAGTCCCAGGTATTTGACTTCATTTTGAATAGGAAATGAAGCATTATTTAATGTAACAGTAGAACAGATTCCCTTTTTTAGAGGGAATGTGATATGAGTGGATTTATTCGGATTTAGTTTTACTTGCCACTGTTCAAGCCATTTTTCCAGCATCAATAGGTGATATTCTAGGTTTTGGGATGCCATATCAGGAGATATATGAGTAGCCATAACTACAGTGGCGTCCGCGCATGTAGCAATTATAGTGTTGTTTGTTGTAGGTATGTCGGCTGTGTATAGAAGGTATACGATAGATTAGGCCCCAAAATACTACCTTGAGGAATTCCACCATGTAACTAATATTTTTTGGCTTTTTTGGCCTTTAGGGCATCTCTAGCTGATCTCACTACTCTGAGCACTTGTTTTATAGTACCATGCTGTTTTCTAAACCCAAATTGATAATTAGGAATTAACTTTTTATTTACTATGATGCTCTGAAGTTTCTTTTCAATAAGAGCTTTTCGAACACTTTTGAAAGCAATGGAACTAAACTTAATGGGCGGTAGGAAGTCACGTCGCTCCTGATTTTAGTTGGTTTCAGCACCGTAGTTATCTAGGACACCTTTCATTGGTCATTGTGTTGTTAATTGTCTAGTGGCAATCACGGTACTCACTCAATCTTTCCATCAAGCAACAAATCAAAGCTTTATAAGAATCCGCTTTTAGAACCAAAACGTAACATATTAAAATACTTTTCTTCCTGTTTTCGTGTTTTTGGATTTGCCTCTATATCATTTTCATTAAATCACGAACCCAAGAACTGTTTTGGTATATCCATGTTTCATTTAGAAATATATCAATAAAATGGTCATTTCTTCCATAACAACAATATGTTTTTTGTTGTATGTCTTTCTTAAAGTCAACTTCTTTTCCCACGTGTTTTTATATCCTGTAACTCTTTCCCCTTATTCGTCTCGAATCTGACTTAATTTAATCACATAAATTAATTAATCTTCAATTCAAAAACGGAACATAACCAATTTTAAACGTCAAATTGACATTTCTAGTGATTTTTTGTTTAACCAACTTCACGTTATTTATGAAAAAATATTAAAATATTAAAAATACTTACATATTAAAATAATAATTAACTTAAATATGTTAAATTAAATAATATTTAATCATAAAATACTTGTTATATAAAATCGATTCAAGATTTGAGTTTGAAAATTTTTACGCATGCGCGTAGTAAACTAACGACACGTGTTTAATACAAAATTAAACAATATAATACATAAAAGTATAAAAATAAATTAATAATTAAAAAGTTATTATTTTATTTTATAAAATTATGTTATAAAAAATAAAATTATATAGTCAACCAACCAATTACATTACAGAAAGTTTGAGTTTGCGCAGTCGTATCTCCACTATTGATTCATAGGTGGCACACTGTTCGAACGTCAGTTGGTAAAGATTTGACCGTTTACTACGAGCGAGGTCATTTACCTAAATCGTAACCCCGCGGATGATGTTGTGCACCGAGTGTTTATTTATAATGTAACGTGAAACCTTGTGCTTACGTTTTAAAAGAATAATTCCTCGTTTATTTGACCCCCGTATGTTCGATACGACGATTTCCAACGTTCGCAATTTTTGTGGTAGGCGTTCGACGACGACGCCCGGTTGACGTAATGAACGAAACCGAATGGCTTCAGTTGGTACGTTCACAATCTTCCGTTCTGCGCAAGTTCGATCAAGTAAGCTTGGAAACTTTTGTAGTCGAGTTGATTTGGAGTTACGAAAAAAATTTTTTGAAACCGATCGATTTGCAAATGGTTGAATGGTTTTTGGAGGAACACCAGTTGAAACGCGAAGAATGTTTGCACACTCTTAATGATGTTGTATTTGTTGAAATGGACCAAGAAGAAAACGAGACGAAAACTGAAAAGCATACGACGGATGACTTATGTAAGTCCATAAGAAACGTTTCTCAAATACAACAAAACATATCTTCTAAACATATTTGCGATTGGTTACCGGTGGTTAAATTAACTGATGGATTAAAATTTGTTATTAAACCAGTTTTTGTTAAATTAATTGACGTTTTACATCCAAGCCAAAAAAAGTCATCGGTTAAAATTACGGTTAAATCGAATTTTGGAGTGGACGAGACTGTTGTTCACGTGTCCAAGTCGATATTAAAAGCGCATCCTAACATTCTTAAAAAAAGTGTAGTTAACGTTGATGATGTGTTACTTTGGAAACTCTATCAAGTTCCAATGAAAGACAAATTTATGTCCTCGTTAAATTTGCAACACGTGGACTTGGCGTCCAATTTCGCCACCAACAACGACGTAACCCAAAACGCAAGGTTCCTTCGTAGTAGTATTTTATCTAATGTGCCATGGTCTTCTGAGTTGGGATTACTTTTGCGAAAACCGATAGATGCCCGACCGCTAACGCGAATTGAAAGAAACGAGAGGTTTTTGAATAGACCAGACACTCCAACATCAATACCATTTAAAAGTTATCCAATCACTTATTCGAAATCTTCGCCGGATAAATATCATATGTATAGATTTGGAAATCGTCGAAGTAGCACGAGTTGTGCAAAAACAATTTTTGGAAATGGCTTGATTGTTAACGGGAATGTACTATCAAACATTAAAGGATATAAATTTTCACTACGAGACGTCCGCGTCGTAATAAAGAAAGAGGAAGAAGAGGCTGTGAGAAAACACATTATGTCAATATCAACAAAATGAAGACGAAATGTTATTAAATTAATAAATTGTAGATGACTCATGTTGAGTACTATGTGAATATTAGGTATATCTACTGAATACAGTAGGTTCTTTTTTAGTTATATACTAGTTACGTTGATGTATTTGGATGATTCCATCGCCAAAGATGTATAAGTTATTTTTTTAGATTAATCGAAATAGATTTTTTTATGTTGTGTATTTAATTTAATATTTGTTTTTATACTGGTTAAAATGAGAGAGTTGTAATCTTCCAATATTTTTATATTACAAATTAAAATCTGTCAAAAATAGAGTAATTTGTTATTATTTAGTTGCCAGATTACCCTGTTATTATTTTAATTAAAAATTTGTGTTTGTGTATTTAATAAAGTTAAAATTAATTAAAAAATTTATATTTCACAACTAATATAGCTTATATGTTTATAAGAAAAAAGAATGATGAAGTAAAATAATGTAATTACTTCGATAATATTGAAAAAGTGTATAACATAACTTCTTAGCGTGGGATTTTTTTAAACACTCATTAACACAGAATGTGACGGTCAATATTTTTAAGTTTTTAAACACGTACTTCTTTCTAGTCGTTCTCTCATTACTGAGAATTTTGATCAATACGGTGTGACCACACCACAAAATAACCAGAAGTGACACTAGCGGTATCCCGCCAAATTTGACGCTATATTATTGCTAGGAAGCAATGTATTGCTGCTATTGGTGGTAAATTCAGTTGTCTCTGTTTAAGTTGTCTCTCTCATTCATTGTGCGTTCATCGCGCCAATGGTCAAGGTTTTTATATAGGAGGTTGTCTTGGTTCCTATACTGCACTGCTTTGAGTTTAATTTGTGGGCTTTCGGGCATGAGCGGGAGTGTTTCGTGACGTAAGTGCCGGCGGATTGCGCGCGCAACCTCAAAACCATGTGGATGTTCCGAGTGTTTTGTTTAGTGAGAGTTGAAGTGTCTTCACTAGTATTAACATAAATCAATTAGTACTTTAGTTTCTGTCAGTTATTTTATGATAAGTGAATTTATATCAAAAATTAAGTTAAATAATGTTCCGTTTTCCCACCGTAGTTAATTATATGCTAAACTGTTGCGCAGTATGGTTGCGTATAAACCTAGACACTCCCTTATATAAAAACCTTGGCCTATGGTATGGAGGTGTTCATGCATTCCCATCTTGCGAAGAACCCTCTTCCACTTATTAATAATCTTCATTATTTCTTTTTAATATTAATACTGCCAAGGTTGCCAAGACGAAACCTTATTCTACATTTTGATGTAGTATCCTGCCATTGTTATCACTAGCATTGATGCATTCCCGAAGATTTCTGATGTATTTAGTTGTAGGCATGTTTCAGCAAGGCCTTAATATGCCTCTAAAGGAAGTAGTTACGAAGCGTTAAATCGGATGCCTTAGGGGCCAAGGGAACAAAGTGAGGTTATCCGTACTAACACGTCCAACACAGCGATGTCGAAGTTCACTTACGAACATGAATATTGTCAATACGTAGAAATAGCACCAACAAGTATAACTGCAGTAATAAGTGCCATTCAACTTCGACGAATTTTTTTTAATTATCACAAATAAACGTAGAGTTTTAGTACCCGGGAATAGCGCCGAATACATAGAATAACTGTTCGGCGTTAAGAATTGCAGGTGCTGCGTCAGTCTGCAATAGAATGTTGGTACGGTTTACATGTAATTGTCGTCGCAAAATCTTCCACACCATTTACTGTGGCACTCCAACTTCACAGATTATTTGAGAAAATTCTTTGTTTACAAAGCGGTTCGTAAATTTAATGAGTTTGTAGTTAGAGTTTGCAACTACTTTAATTGCAATACAGGAATCCTTATGAATTCTACAACGTCTTATTTGAGTTTAAACGTGAAAATTTAAGTTCTTTTTTTGCTTTTGAACATTGATCAAACACTCGTAAACACTGCAAATTTTTAAAACATCGATATCCAATGTCGATATAACACTACTACTAATGGAAACCTGACGACGTGAAAGAGATTCGTTTTTGATTCAAACTGGCATTAAATTCGAAATATAATTTAGAGATTGAATCGCTGTTTTAGTCACTTTTTAATATTTTTTGTGCAAGTTTAATTCTTTTAACTCAATAATCCCACATTTTGCAGCGGTGGGATTTCTTCAATTTATTCTTTGTTTAATTAATTTTAAAATGTTATGCTGAATAGATCTGTATCCAATTACATTATTTTTGTTCATTTTCTGCTCTATTTCTTTTCTTATTTTCCTTTTTCTCTTCCGCTTCACTTTAAAACTTTCTTGTTTAATACAAATTGCAACTCTACACGAAATTCGGCTACTTGAATATAGGGGCTCTTTTCCAGCTATTAAAACTTTAAATTTCCAAGATAAGTTTGATGTTCTTACGATTTTGGTTGACGTAATCAACAGTTTTTGGCTGTTGATGGTTTTATTTTGAATTATATATAATTGAATAATTGATTTTATCCACTTATAAATCTTTTCTACCCGATTTAAATAAATTATATTTTAGAGGTGTTCTGGGCATTCTAATGCAGTCAATGGTGATGGTATAACGAGCCAAATGCTTTTAATAAGTTCTTTAGTCATATATGCACCACATTATAAACTTTAGTGTTGAGAACTATGTTTTCCTTGATTAATAGAAGAGTGCTCTTATCACATCTGTCCCATAATCTGGAAAGTTACGTCATTTTCAAGCAATTAGTATCTTACCAGTTCTCTCTTATTACCATTAAATTTCTAACTATAATTTTGACTAAGTTATTGGTCGTTGTCTTTGGAAGTTTAGAATATCTTAGAGGAGATCATTTATATACGATGATTAAATTTAAAATAAAATAGCCATTCAAAGACTTTATATACTATATGTATCATCTCGAATTATTCAGGTTTCTAAATACATTGCTTTATTTATCTTTGCTATTTCCTCTGAGCGCAGACCACAACAAAACAATGTTATAAATATAGACGTTACGAATCCACTTTTATCAGAGGTCAATGCGATTGCACATGTGTAATAACTCCAAACTTTTAGTTTATCTATGTTTTGTTCTAAAGTAGTAAAAATACAAGAAAATAAAGTCTTAACATCGTGGTTTCATATAAATTTGTAATGAAAATAGTTTATAATATTTTTTCTATGGTTGTCGGTGTGCTATGATATCTGTTAATGAAGTTCGTAATAAATTTATTTTCGTATTTGTTATTGTGATTACATAAAACCACAAAAATGAAATGCAAAAATAAGAATAGGTAAATAAATAATTATTTAATTAATCTATATCTAATTAATCAAGCTTGATGATAATTTAAATTTTTCCATCAAATACATATTTTGGCAATGTTGCAGAGAGTGTCACATTAATGTACCGGAGTCTGCTAACTAGTCAATGTTGATATAAATCAGCCCCTAGAGATGCTATAGAAAACCTTTCGTCTTGCCAATTTTGGTAAAATGCAGCTACACGAGCAATTCGAATGGTTTGCCGATGTTTTTCTAGATACGAAAATAAAACATAAAACCTTTATGAATGAGTACCGATACTGGAATTTAGATGCCATGGAAAACTTTTCGTCTTGACAATTGCCAATTTCGGTAAAACGCAGCTAGACGAGCAATTTGAATGGTTTGCCGATGTTTTTCTAGATACGAAAATAAAACATAAAACCTTTATGAATGAGTACCGATACAGGAATAAAGTTGCCATGGAAAGCTTTCCGTCTTGTCAATTGCCAATTTCGGTAAATCGCAGCTACACGAGCAATTCGAGTGGTTTGCCGATGTTTTTCTAAATATGCGAAAATAAAACGTAAAACCTCTATCAATGAGTACCGGTACTGGAATAGAGATGCCATGGAAAGTCTTCTGTCTGTTAGGTTTTGAATGGGATTAATAATGGAGAGAATCTGCGATGGAGTGGAACTAAATAAAAAAAGACTTCATGAGATGGGAGATTTTTTGCTACATTTTTCTCTAACATTTTCTGTACTGTACATCACCTTGGGTTTTAATTTAAAATCAGCTGCTGCATTCTAATTACAGTGTGAGATGCTTCTTTGAAATTTTATAGTCAAGGCAAGACTATTCATTAGCTGCTACAAACGCGCATGACGGCAACTTTTTTCACTTTTACCTTGAAACTATGATTTTTTCTTTATTTGTTTTTTCTTAATTTTACTGGAAATTTATACTTGTAACATTAAACCACAGAAAAATGAAACAATACCCTTTACTATAATAGGTCTATAGTGATATTTTACTTCCTTAGATAATCAGGATTTCAATTAGAAAATATTATGGTTTTTATATCGTCCGTTGTCTTGAAAGAAAAGGGTGGACAGTTTGAAACAATATGAAATTTGAATGGTACCGGGGGGTAAAGTTTCCGTCCCTCGACATTGGCTGTTTTAATTAAAGCTTTGCCAAGATTGGCGGCCGGAAGACGTGATTAAAACTTTGTCCACGTAGCGACGACTACTTTTCGACTGGCTGCTCTTTTCCTAGACGACATCCGAAGAATATTAATTTAAACGCTAAATTGACGTTGAAAACCGTTTTTCTTGATGTTTACTTTTGACTTTATAATAATTAAGAGCGTTTACAATAATATTTCGATTTTTTAATATTTGTATTATTAAAAAATGTTTAATTAATTCGATTTGAGAAGATAAATATTTTTAGTATTATAATTCAAACGTGAAACAATTTTTGCTGGAATTTAATTTAAGGTGCACGTAGTTTTTTTTGCTGTGCCACGTTGCTCCTTCATAAATCTTGGAAGTAATTTCGGGGTAGACGGGACTAATTGCTCAAATGGTTATATATGGTGCGTATTTATCGCTTAAGGTTGAATTAAATTTGACTTTTTTCTTTAAACAAATTTATTATTGCAATGTCATTTTTATTAAGACTTTATTAAGTCGGTTGAGTTAAATCTAGATTCAACATCAAACAAGTTTACAACTCGGTAAAAAACCTTAGGGAATTAAGTAAAACAGAGTTCTTTTTAACTTTTCCCCAACATCAAATTAAACTAAGGAGCTGGATCGATTGAGTTTTAATCACGCTCCTCTTTCTTTTCTTTTTCTCGATTTTTATCCCTCGACTTTTTTTCATTACAAATTCAAGCGGTTCAATATAAACCTTATATCAAAGAGCTTTAACAAACAATTTTTTATCTCAATCGATATTTTCCACTTTAATCAAGTTTTTATTGACTCACATACAGAATAATTAATAATGTGGATGAAATAATGTGTCTACAATACTGGCTTTAATTAATGCACATTGATGTGTATTGGGAATGGATATTCCAAAATGGGTCCTTTAGTCGTTTACTTATCTGCAACGTCCATCAATTAACCGAACTCTGATGAATTGCAGAACAGACTAGCATTAATGCCAGATGGTGGTATGATCGATACGGAAATAACATCGTAGTGTCCTGCAGCGGAGATTGCATAAGATGAGATTGACCAATATCCCAATTGTGATAAATTCAATGGGATTAGGGTCAAACTATTTAAGGGTTAATTAACTTGGTTCAATACATCCAATAATTATTGAAAAGGAATCGTTTTAGATAGAAAAAATTGAAATTAATTTATTATGACGTGACATTATCAACCACAACATTAAAAGGGACATAAACTTGTGGTCCTCTAATCGCAAGGGTTACCCTCGTCAAAAGTTAACTCCGATATAAACTCTATACTAAGACGAGGATAGCGATTCACAAGCGGAAATACGTAAAAGGTTATCTAAAAGTCTGATAAAAACGTATAGTACTAGAATGTAGGTATCGCAGGTTCTGTATTTGAATCGGTCTGCATTTATAGGGAACGTCGAACAGAAAGGAACGGAAAAGCTGATGGCGTATCGTTAAATCGATTTATTATGGCCCTTTGAGCGCTCAATTTTATCGAAACGCCGATGTACGGATTATGTATGTTTTCAAGTGGATATGCATCGAATATTAGAGGATATACGCATATTGTATTTTTTGTTTATAGTGAGAATAAAACACTCTTGTTTTTAATTAGTTAACGCAAATCTAATTAAATCGAAATGAATATTTATGTATAGTACAAGTTGTTTGGTAAAATGCAATCTGGAAAATGGATTCAGTTGGTGGTTCAAGTCTGCGAGACTTTCTAACTTTTTCGCGCGCGGCTTTTTGTAATTTATACCGTCGCATTACAGAGGGCCGTATACGTTCGAGAATAATAAATCTTCGCTCGCGAGGGAAAAGTGCGTCGAAAGGCGACCGAATCGCGACACCGGCATTTATTTCCACCGTATTTACTTTGGTCGGAGGAAGGACGAAAGACGCCTTCGCTTCCGAAGTGGACTAGCGGAGCTCGAATACTGTATTCAAATTGCACAACTTTTGATTTATCTTCGGTGAAGCCGCTGTGTGCATTTAAAAGTCAAATGAGTTTCCCGAACCGAGAGACCACATTACGTCGGGTACTCTTTTTCCGTTTAATTTGTGTTAACACAAAAAATGAACTTCTTTCAAAGATTATTAAGTTTAGGTAAAGTGAAATTGTAGGTTCATAAACATCGTGTAGACGAGGAAGTTTTGGGACGAGAAGCTACTTTGGACGTGCAACGGCAGGCAAGTTAAACCCGCTATCTTGGGTCCGCAGGACGACCTAGAATGGAAAATTAGCGAAGTCTTCGAATCTTGTAGAGAGATAATGCGTCCGCAGCCGGTGTTGCACTTGCAAATTTAACGACACAGCAAGATTTACTTTCATTTTAATGGGCTCGGCTGCAGTACTCGGCTTATTGTGTTGTGGCAAACTTCTTGCACTTATACTTACTCACCCTTTCGAGAGATTAAGTTCTATGAATGTCGCGATTATTATTTTACGTTGCTTTAGACACTATAACTGAATACAATCAGGGAATCGCTTTAAACTACACAATTTTAATCACGACACGAAATGGGTTACCTTAAAACTTGCGATGAAGATAAACATTTTTCAAGAAACTATATTTATAGTTGAATTTATTTAGGATTACGTATATCCTAGAAGTATCATCAATTACTCTTCTACCCTATAAAAACTAAAACTTCTAAAAGTGCCTTTTCCGCGCACAGCTTCCAATTTTACCCAACACTTCGACCAATTTGTCAGAGTTTACACAGACGCCAGAAACGATTGCTGCCAATTTCTTACACTCAATTTAATCTGCGATTTTTACTTAGAAAAAACCTTTCTACCTTCGTCAATGTTATACCATATAAGTCAAATAAGATTTTTTAGGTCAGTTTAAATGACATTCATGTTTTTATTAGGTGCATTATATACATGATGCAATATCCAACAACGAAACATTCCACGTGGTGTTCCTAATGACCGTAAGTAAGTAGTAAATGTTTTCTTAACTCGACAACTAAAAGTACCTAGTTTGTCTTTCCCATAGTGTGTTTCTTGTGTTGAGTTGAAATGAGGGTTGGTGGTCGGTTTAAATTTCCGTCCTGGCTGGAGAGGTATTTGAGTTAATGACTTCCACACGAAACTAAATACGAAACAAAGACAACTCTGCCGGGACACTAATGTCTTCCACATAATTATCGTTTAATCGTCATTGTCAAATAACAGGACATTGCGTTGTCGTCAAATAGGTCTTGTGGAGCAATCAAATTTGATAATTTTAGGAAATTAGAGCAGCAACGAAATGTCGGTCGGATAATTGGGCGAACGATGTCGTTCGGAACTTTGCGCGCACGTTCGCTAACTGGTAGCCGTAAGGGAAACTAGTTTTACAGCGGTTTAGCATATGTCGGAGTCGTAAACCTGCTCTTTGATACTTTAATGGCACCACCGCGTGTCGACCCCAACTGTACCACCCACCGAGTTTAAACCGCTTTTTACTTTATTCTGTTTGCGTTACGTGAGAACTGCTCCAGAAAATGAAACCCGCGCGGTAATACTTCCGAGAAAATACTTGTCTTTAATCTGGCATTACGTCGGATTCTGATTAAAACTGGGGACGTCCC